AGGCCCCCCCCCCCCCGCTGAACATTGGAGCCACTGGAGTAGCTTCAAACCTTTCTGGTGCCCAGCCTGCACCCTAGGCCAATCACATCTGAACACCAAGAGCCTGAGCCTCAGCCATGCATACACTGTACTCCCGACGGCTGCAACGTGCAGCGAAGGTGAGGAGGCTCAGCTCTAAGCCAACAATCTGTGTTATGGCTATACAGACTGACAAGTCAAATAGGGTAGAGGTGGATTATTTCTATAACTCAGTGCTTTCCAAAAACACATCAGTGTTTTCTTAAATATGCAATGTCCCACCAGTGCATTGAGACTTTTGTTTCATAAACAGCTGTAAGCCCACAGCTGAAGAATATTCTAAGGCTTAGATAGTATTAGGGTATCTTGCCAATTAAAGACAAAAGAGAACGAAGGCAATAACAACTTGTTCTGGAAATAGAAATGATTAGCTCTGACCTCTTATTAAAAAAATCTAACATATGGACAAATTCAGGGGACATTTTAAAAAATGAAATTAACTTCCATTTTACTGTGACCAGTGTTCTACTTTGAAAAAAAAATTCCCAAAGGGGAAAGAAAGAAATCGTTTCTAAGATTTGTAGGTTTGGGATCACACATCGTTGCAGGGAGGAAAAGATGTGGTCTTAAGGATCCTCACTGAACAGGCTGGACCATATAGAAATGGCCATTTTTTTTTTTGTAGGTGAAAAATGACTAGTGATGGTTACACAGAGTTCAACAGTCTACACAAAAGAACTTCCTCTCATAGCACTTCAGGCATCTTTCTTGCTCTCTTTCCAGCAAAACCCCTTTTTCTCAGCCGGAGCCATCATACATGTGAGCCCTCAGGACTGTGACGTGTTTACCTCATTTGTGTTGCAGATGTTCTCTAAAGCGGAGCCACATATTTTTCCTGGGAAAGCATTCCAAGGAATGATACCTGCAAAGTGAATCCGAACAGAGCATGAGTAAAAACTAAAGTGCATAGTGGTTTGGGCTTAGTTTAACTTGGTTCTTGTTTTGAGACTGGGAATTGAACTCAGGGGCTTTGCACATGCTAAACACACACTCAGCTACTTTGCTGCAACCCCAGCCTGCCTCATGTTTTTAGTAGACCTTTTTTACTTTGGATAGCAGTTATAATTGTAAGTTATGTTTCTCTTCACAACTGAGATATCTGCTGTCTGCAGAATAGGCATTGGGGAATAAAGAATAAGCTTTATTTGGGTAACAGGGCAAGAGCAAAGTCAGCTAGTCTGTGTGAGATTTCAATAGCTGGGCATTTTTCTCCTGCAGATTGTGCTTTGTTCAATGGAGTTTGATATTTGCAAGCATTATGTGTGTGTGTGTGTGTGTGTGTGTGTGTGTGTGTGTGTGTTTGCCTGTATATATGCAAGTGTCCTCTTGTTGTGCAATGCCTGTGGAGGCCAGAAGAGGGTGTTGGTTCCCCCGAAACTGGAGTTATGGACAATTGTTAGCCACCATGTGAGTGCTGGGAGCCAAACTTGGGTCCTCTGCAAGAGCAGCCAGAGCTCTTCACCACCGAGACATCTCTCCAGCCCCCATTTTTTTTAAAGGCAGGAGCTCACTATGTAGCCCTGACTGGTTTTGAACTCGCTATGTGGACTAAGTTGGCCTTGAACTCAGATATCTTCCTGTCTCTGCCTCTCAGATGCTAGGATTAAGGGTGTACCCCACCACATCTGGCCCACATTTTTGAAGTAGGTTTTCCCTGCATTGAATTTGTTAAGTGCTGTTAAGCACTTGCTAGAGAATGCTCATAGAGCATTGTATCTGTGCTTAGGTGGGGCCATTTCCATGTGAGTATTAAAGTCTCTGTCCTGGCCACTCAAGCTTTGTGTTAGTGGTACAAACTTGACAGTATCCACTCAGAGACATTCATGGTAAACTGAAGGAGTTGGAACTCAAAAGAACATTCAGGATTTGTATTTTGTATGTCTGTGTTGGATTGAAAATCAAATTGAAAGTTTTAAAATAATATTTTATTATTTTTATTTTATGTGTGTGAGTGTATTGCCTGCATGCATGTAATTGCACTTGTGTCGTGCAATGCGCATGGAGGTTACAAAAGGGTGTTGGAGTCCCTGGAACTGGAGTTAAGGACTGTTGTTGTTAGCTGCCATTTGGGTGCTGGAAATCAAACCTGGGTCCTCTGCAAGAGCAGCCAGTGCTCTCAACCACTGAGTCATCTCTCCAGACCCAAATTGGAAGTTTGTTTTTTTTAAAAGCAAAACACAAATGGTCTTCATTACAGAGGGTGGGACAACCACAGTTTGTGGTATCTTTCTAGCTCTTGAGTCCCCAATGCAGTGACAATTGCCCTTTGGGTTGATGCTCTTTCCCTCTGTAATGCATGGGCATATGCTTAAATACTAGGCACGGCACATTTTACACTTCTCGGGGGAGGGAAGGAAGGAGTATTCTTTCTTAAGTCCTTCTTCCCTCCTATCTCTGACATGGGCTAAGAGTGAATCTATATGACTTGGAAGAATGCGGAATTCTCAATTCCAACAAGTAACCTCATGAATAACTATCTGGGCAAAGATAGAGGAAGTAAAAAGATAATTACTGTGGTAAAACAGTTCTTTTAAGGAATGTGGAAATTATTTTTGCATAGTCCTATATGAAAACTCTTTGTTTTGAGGTGAGGTTGGGCTATTTAGCCCAGGCCAGGCCTGGAACTGGCAGTCTTCCTGCCTTAGCTTCCTGAATACTGTGATTATAGGTCTGTGCCACCATGCCCAGCTTTATGAGGATTTAAAAACACTGGCTAAGAGCATGTACTGCTCTTCCAGAGACCTGAGTCCCAGCACCCATGTCAGGCCACTCACAACCGCCCACTTCTGGCTTCCATTGGTACTGCCCTCATGCATACACACCCACACTCACACACATACATACATAATTAAAAATAAAAATTAAAGTTAAAAAATTAAATCTATTGTAAGACTTGGCCTTTGTGAGAAGAAATCAGTCTGGTGGGCAGTTTTAGGTGAGTTTCATGCTATGCTATAAGATGTTGAGAATAAGCCATGGGGGGAAAAACTACATAAAAATGAAATCACTGTCTCCATCCATCCAGAACTCTGGGAGGACAGGTATTCCTTCTTCAGTTCTCATGAAAAGCTCTCTTCCTTCCTAGCTCTCTCTGACAAGAACAGACTTCCTACTATCCTAGCTAAAAGCAGTATTTATAGTCCCTCTTTAGGTTAAGGTTTTCCCTCAACAAGAAAGTCAAGTTCCAAATTAATTGCCAGGAGGACTCAATGGCTCCTTCTGTGGCTGGTTCCAGGAACCAGGAACCGTGTTATGAGACTCCCATTCATTAGAAAAAATGTTTGAGCTGGTTTCTGACAGTTGAAGACAGCTCTCCCAGAATCTATCCTAAGGACTTTGAAATACATCTGCATTTTCTGCTGTGTTTTTCAGTACAGATAAGTTAGAGTGGAGTGGTCTTTTTTTTTTTTTTTGGTTTTTTTGAGACAGGGTCTCCCTGTAGCCCCAGCTGTCCTGGATTCACTATGGAGAGCAGGCTGGCCTCGAACTCACAGAGATCTGCCTGCCTCTGCCTCCCAAATGCTGGGATTAAAGGCGTGTGCCACGGTCATTTTTTAAAAGACTAGCTTTAAAGAGCCAGGTGTGCAAATTAACTGTATGTGCAATGTTTTAGATGAAAAGTCATTTTTTAAAACTGAAAAGAGCTGGGCATGGGAGCCCACACCTGTGACCCCAGCACTCTGGAGGTGGAAGCAGGATTGTGAGTTCAAGGCCAGCTAGTTTGGACTACATAGTGAGACAAAAATAAACAAACGAAAAACAAGAAGAGGGGGAGGGGAGAAAAGAAAAATTGAAAAGAAAAAATCGAAATATATAAATTTTTATAGTGGTTATTCAGAAGTCTTTTTTGATTGAATTGTGTTATAAAGTAGTTTTTGAATTATAAAAAACATTTTTAGCTTTACTATATACCTAATTGGAAAAAATGTTTTTTTGAATCTCAAATAACATCCTCCAGCAAGTACAAAGGCCCAGAAATGCTTGCATTCAGAAAACCAAGGGGAAGAGAATAAACTATTCATGAAAGAAAAGAAACAGGTCATGATGCTTAGGAAGAGGCTTTTGTGCTAATTACAACCCAGGCATATGCACAAGCAAACACAGAAGTGATGGGGATGGGATTGCAAGAAAGTACCATATTGCCGGACATCCACGCAGATCTGCTCCACACCCGAGGTCCCATTAGTCTGTGGTGACTTGATGAATTCACAAGTTGACCATATGTTGTAGAACATAAACACGGGCACGGCAGAGAAGCCAAACACACCCAGCCAGGCCACTCCCAGCACATAGGTGAGGAAAACGAACTAGGCAGAAAGGGAGAGGAGGGAGAATCATCACTGAAATGGGCAGGTGCATCTCTCTGAGGAAGGACTGTATTTCTTGGTCCAGTATGGGACCGGTGAGATGCAGGATACATTCCTGGGACTCTACCTGCCTTTGGAAGTGAGAAAGAAACATCAGTACAGTACAGGGATCAGGGAAAGCTGAGTTTTCATGGTCTGCATGAAGCATGTAGTGTGGTAGTGCCCTAGTGCCTGAAGAGACCTCAGGGCCTTTCTTGGGTCTTTATTCACTTATTTTTGGGGTGTGTGTTCATGTTTGTGTGTGTGTGTGTGTGTGTGTGTATGTGTGTGTAAACAAAGGCCAGAGGACAGCCTGGGGTGTCATTCCTTAGGAATGTTCCGCCAGTTTTATTTTCTTAAAATTTTATTTATTATTTTTATTTTATGTGTATGAGGGTTATGCCGGCATATATGTAAGTGCACCCATATTGTGCAGTGCCTGAGGGGGTCAGAAAAGGTTATCAGATTCCCCTAGAACTGGAGTTGCAGACAGTTGTTAACTGCCATGTGGGTGCTGGGAATTGAACCACTGCACAGCCAGTGCTCTTAACGGTTGAGCCATCTCTCCAGCCCCTTGTTCTTTATCTTTTTCTTTTCTTCTTTTTCTTTTTTTTCTTTCTTTTTTTTGACACAATGTGGCTCACAGTCTTGGAACTCATCCAGTAGGCTAGGCTAGGTGGCTAGTGAGCCTCAGAGATCTGCCTGTCTCTACCTTTCCAGTGCTAGAATTACAAGGGTCATCATGCCCTTTTTTTTTTTTAACATGAGTTCTGGGGAATCAAACTCAAGTCCTCCCAACAGAGCCATCTCTCCTGCCCCTAAGGTCCCTCTTTTAACCATCAAGGACATGAGACTCCAATGGTCTTGGGTCTACCTGTCAAAGGTAACCTTACTCATTCAACTAATGTGAGTTAGTTGACTCACATGAGAGGTAACATTTTTTGAAAACTATTTAGTACTGAGAATTGAACCTAGGGCCCTGTATATGCTGGGCAAATGCTCTACTCTACCACTGAGCTATACACCCTTTCTACATTTTTATTTTTAAATAGGATCTCACTATGTTGCTCAGAATGGCCTTGAATTTTCAATTATCCTACCTTAAACTCCCAAGTAGCTGTGATCTTAGGCCTGCACTTTTAGCCCTGTTTATGAAGTATTTTTTTCTAAACATCAGTTCAGAAAACTCCAAGCATTCTCCTAAACATGGAATACGCTCAGGATGTCTTTGCAGGTCACCAAATCGTAAAACTTGATTTTTCAGCACTTCCCTTTGTTTGACATTACACATAGGTATGGAAAAATAGCAATTGCTACAGGAAGCCTTCTCTCAAAAGGAACTCTGCTAGTTTCCTAATTTTGTGAACTTTCTAAAAAGTCTAGATGCTTGAACCTTTACCAAAAGTTTCAAATGGTCCTCAACACAAGGGGAACGCACAATGAATCTGGTCAAATTCTCGTTTCTCTCTATTTTGTTTCATCCCTAACATTTAGCACAGCTTTACAAGCAACCCAGTAAGTAGCTCAGGGCAAAGCTTCCTGGCTTTTCCCCACACATTGCTATGGCCGATTCCAGGAAGAATAGAATTCTCTACTCTTGACTTTCCTCAGAACCTACCTTGATTACCTCTTCTCTGAGAGCTTTGAAAGGCTGTCTTTAACACACACTATTTCCGTTCCCAGAATGTGCACCTATAGGGGATGTGAGCAGGTTTGGAGTTCTACATTGGTTCTTATTCTTTCAAGATAATACTAAAGACCTGAGGATTCTGCCTAACTTTTTATTTTTGAGACAGAGTCTCACGCTGAAGGCCAGTCTAGTCTGGAGCTGACTATGTAGTTCAGACTGACCTCAAAATCATGGACATCTTTCTGGCTCAGCCTCCCACATTTACTGGGATTACAGCCTGTGCTGCCAAGCCCCTCTCACCCAACTTTATACTACAGGAGGTACCTGATTAGAGGGAGGCTCGGGCTCAAACTGCTCCTCCCTGTTGGTCACCCTGTGAAACTGCACATACAAAGTAGTTTGCACTTTTCTTTCAAGGACTTTCACAGTTTCGGAAGCATCAGCATTTAAAAAAGTATCCAAAGCAGCACATGTCAGGAATTTCACCTCCTCTCCTTCTCCAGGGCTTCTAAGCTGGCTGCTCTAGAATAGGTTTTCTTTTTCTTCTCCTATCCACAGAAAATGTCCCAGTCCTTTTAATAACACCACAGAGACTTGAGAAGGGACTGGTGATTCTTGGCCTTGGAGAGCCTTCCCTTCCTATGAAGAATTGTGTCCCAGAAATCAGGCCAGTGCCTGTGGAGAAGGATCCCGTCTTGTGGATCTGGTGTTCAAATCTGCTTCCTCAATGGATGAGCTGCCTGAAGGTGGTTGTCTCCCACAAAGGATGGGAAAGCAAGGCCTTCTGAGCAGGAGCAGGGCTCACTGTCTCCCCACCTCCCACAACTTCCTCTCCTTGGCATACTGCTTCAGCGCCATCAACCCTGCACTGTTTTGCCCTGTGAATCTAACCTTAAAAATCAAGATGAGGTTGCCAACAAGATGGCACTTGTGGCAAGCCTGATGATGACCCAAAATCAATCCCTGGAACCCACACTGCAGAAGGAGACTACTAACTCCTTCCAGTTTCCTCTGACCTCCACACTTGCATCTATGACATGCGTTCTGTGGAACACGCTATCACCGCCACCCCCCCCCCCGGGACTCCCACTAAAGAAATATTTTTAAATATATTTTTAAAGTCAAAGTCCTGGGGAGATGGCTCAATTAAATTAATCCTTGCTGTGTAAGCCTGAGGACTTGAGTTTCATCACCAGCATCCAAATAAAAAGCGGGGCATGGTGGCGCGCACCTGTAATCGATGTGCTGGGGAGGTGGAAGACAGGTGGATCCTGGAACTCACTAGCTAGCCAGTGTGGTCTAATCAGAAATCCCCAAGTTCCAGTGAGAACTCCTTCTCAAAAAACAAAGTGAATGGATTCCGAGGAAGATTGACCTTTGGTGACCTCTCGTGTCTGCACCCATATGCACCCACCTACACACAAGTGCATGTACACGCACGTGTGCACACACTGACAACCACACAAACTCACACAAATTTAAAGCGTAAGGAGGATCCTATCCAGAGGCAGATACTGAAGTCAACAAAACCCGAAATTCCCCAGCAACTGAGTGGTAAGTTTCATCTTTGCATGAACACAGTCTTTGGAAGTAACCCTAAGTGTCACTTTTTATGTATTCTTTTGATTTTCCTAGCAATGATTGTGTTCTTTTTCTTAAGTTGAGTGTTATGTGTTATGCTCCACAAGAAAGGAGAGGTAGGGAGAGCCAGCTACACCTCCCAATCAACCAGTCAGCCCTAGTAGCATGAGGGGGAGGGGCTAAGGGCATATAAACTGAGGAAGTAGAGGGGAGGTCCTCTCACCATCTTCCCCACAGCCACATTTAAAAGTTTCCAGTGTGGTCTTAGATGGGGAGCACCCACATTCCTGTAGTAAATCTTCACCCATTGCCCTGTAAGTAAGTACAATAAACTCACTGACTTCCTAGGCTGCAGTTTGGTGAAACTGTACCTCAGTTTGTTGCAGGAACCAAGGAAGGAGGGGGTGAATGTTGTTTATGCCTCCGAGAAGGAATTTTAGTGATGTGAGAGTAGTGCAGCCTGACCAGTCCTGTGGGACGATAGTACTACAAGAGAATAGGCAGGCACCTGAGTAAAAACTGTTCAAATGGGGTGCCACTTGGACAGAACCAGCAGAATGGAAGTAGGGTGAGGCAATGGGCTACCTGGGTATCTTCACAGATCCTGGGGAAGAGACTCTGCCTGAGCTCTCACTTGCTATAACCTTCAGGATGTGAGTTTCCATGACTGTGAGGTGGCCATTCAAGGGAGGAAGGACCTCCAGACAGGACTTGAGGTTACAGCAAATGATCTGGACCTTTGGGGGGCATCTCATTGGCCATTTTCTTTTTTCCTGAACTCTACAGAAATTACTTGCCTCTTACTGGCCATTTTTCCTCAGTTCCCCACTAGGGTAGCTTCTCTTGCACCTACCTAACAGATGGTGGTATACCTCAGGAACTCCCCTCCACAAACTTTGGCAGGAACTTGCTCACAGCCACCACTCTTAGAGCTCACATGCAGCTCCTAGTCATCCCAGCCTAGCATGTTCTCAGAGACCCAGCCCCGAGCCTATACTTAGCCATACTGGCTAACTCTACCTGCTTCTTCAAGGCTGCATCAAGCCCCTATGGATCATATTGAATCCACCAGAATTCACCATGCCTTAATGTCACTCAGCTCCTCAGCACAGTATCCGAGCCGAACCTGTCACTCATTTCCTTCTCTTATTCACACTCCCCATGGCAATACCCAGAGCCCCTCTCCCACTACCTTTCTGGAAGCTCAGTTTACGTTTCCACAGTCCCTCACTTGAGTCTTGAGATGGCCTCTTGTAACCTCACTCTCTCAAACTCATCTTCCATACCACTGGGTGACTGGCCAAATCTCATGATTATTGATTGGGAGTCTGTCATTTTCCTACTTTGTTTTCCATCACCATTCTTAGCCTGGGATTCAAGGCCCTTCCTGAGGCGGTCCTTATCCCTCCTGTCAAGCAGTGCCATTTCCTTCTTTCTCCAGCCCCTTCCTGTTCAGCCTACTTACATGAATGCACCTCTCTTCTGTGTCCCCATTCCCTGTTCACACTGGCTTCTCTTCCCTGATCTCATGTGAGCCAGGATCCTCTCCTTGCGCCTGGCCCAAAGCCCTCCCTGATTCCACACTGCAGTGTCCCTGGGCTTGCTGCCATTTGCTCCCATCTGCATCACACACACACACACACACACACACACACACACACACACACGAGTCTTTACAGCCAAGGACACAGAAACCTAGGGCCAGGCTGAACTTGAGACACAGCTGGGATTACCTGGGACCCCATGGCTTTTCCAGGCCCAGAGGGTCCTTGCCAGGCATAGTGACACCTGCCCAAGGCAAGATTAAATTTTCCTTGATCTATTTAAAAATTTTTAAGTGTGTGTGTGTGTGTGTGTGTGTGTGTGTGTGTGCGCGCAGGTGCATGGATGTTGTCATAGCCCACTTGTGGTCAAAGCCTGGGGAGCCAGTTCTATCCTTCCACCATAGGTTCCAGAGATTGAATTTGGGTTGTCAGGTCTGTGTGGCGAGCACTTTGACCCACTGAGCCATGTTGCTAGCCCCAGATTTACCTTGAGAAACTCAATGTCATATACTCTATAATACCCTTCATACCTAGGCTCAAACCATCAAGTCACCAAGAACACAAAGGATTCTACCCCAACCAGCATGCCTCTTTCAAGAGGAGTGTTGTGACCTGTGGATTTTCCTAGTGCTGGAAGTCAAACTACATCCTGGTAGCATCCTCCTCTGCTTAGCAGTGAGGCTTACTCACTGCTGTACACGCCAGGAAGTCCTCAGCCTAGCCCGAGTGTAGATGTTCCCTTCCTGGGAGGGCCCACACCATTACTGCTTTTCTCAGACTCAAATGTTTTCTTTATGCCTAATCATTCTCCGTGTGCCACAATATCCAGCACTCTGCGCAACATTTTAATAAGGCTATGCCATCATAAATTCAAAATATGTACAAGGGCCTGAGTATAGCTCGGTGGTGCAGCACTTGCCTACCATGTACAGGCATGTACACATTTGATCACCAGTGCTGCACACACACACACATACACCTTGCATGCACGCACGCCTGATATGTCTTTTGTGATGGAGCACTTTTTAACTGTCTTTTAAAAAAAATTATTATTTTTATTTTATTTGTATGCATGTATCGCCTGCATGTATGTGAGTGCATTGTGGCATGCAATGCCACGGAGGTCAGGAGAGGGCATCGGAACCCCCTGGAACTGGAGGTAAGGACAGTTCATAGCCACCATGTGGGTGCTGAGAATCGAACCCGGGTCCTCTGCAAGAGCAGCCAGTGCTCTTAACCACTGAGCCATATCTCCAGCCCCCACTAACTCTGTCTTGCTAAGATGTCTTCCTCTAGACTACGACCAGCTGCAGATTTTAATTTTTCAGTAATGTGAAGGTTTTCAAATTCCTAACTCTATGTTGGTAAGAGTGATATTCGTGTCATGGAGTTTCCATGAACAGCTAACAGTTTTCATTAAGAATAGAGAAACACTCACACATGGCTTGGGCTGAACATGAATTCTATACTCACCATTCCACTGATGCATCGGCCACAGGCGGTTGTTTTAAACTCACCGTGCAGCTCTTTCACTGCACTTGTGGTATAAAAACCTTCTGCCAACAGAATGATGCCATACAAGAAGAAAAAGGACGCAATTCCATAGATGACATACTGCATCAGTTGAATCCTATGAAAAGAAGAAGAGATCTTGAAACGTTAGAGTCACTGCGTAGTGAACACTGTATTCTCAGACTCTGGAGAGGATGTGAGGTGACATTACTATGCCATCTCTTATGGCCACAGCAGCCTCCTAGAGTAGGCGTAAGAGGACATCTCTGCCCACCCCAGCAGCCTGGACCTTCCTTTCATGGTGGGCTTGTGGGCAAGGTGGGCGACCCTCTCAAGCAGGAAGCAATTTTCCTCTGATCACAGGCAGGGCCCACTTGTAGTGTGTTTCTACTTACCCAAGTCTTGTGTAGTGAACATTAAGACTCTCCATTTGGCATGGAGCACAGACAATGAGGAGTTAAGTCACCCATCCAAAGATACAGAGTGCCAGAGTCAGCATCTGAACCCCGGTTCAACAGACACCATGCTTTCTCCAACAGATAAAAATGCTTCCCAACCAAGCTTGGTGGTTGATACAATTCTGATAAAACACCTGTCAAACCACGGGTGTCTTTAAGGAGAAACACGGGCAGATGAGTTTTGCACTGAGATCCTTATTATACAAGTCATAGGATGTTGAGTACATGCAAATACAGAAAGTTCATTCACAACTAAGCTTGACCTTTGAAAGCTTCCAGACACCCAAATGACAGATCTGTGGGCTTTGGCTTCCCAGCGAAATCACCTGGATAGTTTCAGAAAATACTGGTACCTGGATAACACTCCCCTAGAGATGAACTTATCTGTTTTTCAGTGATGCATATTTTGAAGTTTCTTGGAAGTTTGAGAACCATAGATTAAGATCTCTAGCTAAGTTAATAAACCTTTTCTAGTTTCATTCTGCTATTTCATTTCTGGACATATCTGTGCATCTTTATATTTTTAAGACATGGCATCATGTATCCAGGCTTGAACTTGCTGTGTAACTGAGGATAACCTTGAACTTCTGATCCTCCTGCCTCTCCCTTTCTGAGTGCTGGGCTTACAGTTGTGTGCCACCATGCCCAGTTTATGTAGTACTGGGGATCCAACCCAGGGCTTCATACATTTTGCAAATGCTTTACCAAATGAGCTACATCCCCAGCCTTCTGTAATACATATATTTTCTATGTTGAAATGTATTTTATTATTTTTTATGTGTATGAATATATTGCCTGCATGTATGTAAGTGCACCCATGTTGTGCAATGCCCACAGAGGTCAGAAGAGGGTTTCAGATTCTCTGGAACTGGAGTTATGGATGGTTGTTAGCCACTATGTGGGTGCTGGAATTCATACCCTGGTCTTTTGTAAGGGCTCTTAACCACTTGAGCCATCTCTCCAGCTTCTATTTGCTATTTTTAAAGATATATATATATATATATATATATATATGTTTTTAAAAATTTGTGGGCCTAGGTGTATGTATGTGTACCATGTGAAAGCAGGTGCCTGTGGAGTCCAGAAGGGGGCATTAGATCCCATAGTCACAGATAGTTGTGAGCCACCATGGGGGTGCTGGGAACAGAACCCTGGTCTTCTGTAAGAGCAGCCAGTGCTCTTAACCACTGAGCCCCCTGTATGCATTTCTTCCAGTATACTTGCAGTGTTTGGTACCTCCTTATAGCCCACCCATCATTTCTTTGGATGTCAATTGTAAACAGATTAGAACATGTGATTTTTTGCTGGGTATGGTATAGTGCATGCCTGCAATCCCAGCACTTGGAAGGCAGAGCTACAGAGTGAGACCCCCATCTCAACAAACAAACAAAAAAACAAAAAGCATTTTCATTACTATTCCATAAACATTCATTGATGCCTTTTCTACTCTGATGGAGAGGTTTCCTACAATCACAGCACATAAACACTGAAACCATTAAAACAAAAGGGCAGAATGAATGAGGCAAGGGGAAGCTGTTCTCGGGAAGGAAGTATGTCTCAGCTGGACTTGTAGTTAATGAGACCATGCTTGAATGCTGGTGAGCTTCCACTGAGAAATATTCTAGAGTGGGGAGACAGAGAATTGAGGCTAAATTTCCAGAGCCACCTCTTTTGGAGGATACCCTGGGTTTTGTTCTCCTACCAGAAGAATTAATGTGGAAATACGTTTCCTATAGATTTATACTTGGAGTAAGTTCTCCCCAGCGGCTCCTTCCATTCCAGGGAGTCATTTCCTGTGAGAACACTGGCAGATAACCATTACTTGGGAACAATACTAACTCTCTGATGAGATGTTCTACCTCGCCAACCTGTCACCTTGTCACAGGCCTCCACATCTACCACTACTGTGTGGAGTGTGAACACCTTGCCATGTGCAAGTGAGAGCCCACCACATTCTTGGCCTTTTGTTTTTTGCTGTCTCATGGACTTT